CTGCTGTTAAAATAATGGCAACAAAATTATACAGCAGAGTTCAAAGACACCTCCGGAATACCAAGGCCTAGCACATCATTCAGTTATATTTACTATAATTTCTGCATAAAACACACATAAAATTAAAATCACGCTGAAGCATACTCTTTAACCTTGAAGCGTAAATAAATGAATTAATAAAGATCTGAGAACCGCCGCCAGTAGTGCAGAATGCTGGATACAGCTTGCCGCCACTACCAACCCCATAACTCAAAATTCCTCTCCCATTACAAATTTGACTGCTGCTCACAAATGAAACAATTTGATTCTCTACATTAATGGTCATAAATCAAACTTCTTTCATTTGCAAAACCTTAACTCTAAAGCAGGTTTGGTGTACTGCTAAAAGCACAACGCTCTGCACCGTGCGCGTTCCGATTTGCTGCAATAATTCTGAAGTATTATTAAACCAAGTTCACGGCACTTTTGCTCGTTCAAATTTCAAATAGTCACCTAATTCTAATTTATAAAGCTAGTAAAGCTATCTGCCTGAGAAACTGTGAAAAACAAAAAATATAAGCCACTAAGAGTGCTCCTAATCAGATTAGGCGTAGAGCAATAAAGGCACTAAAGTTGCCTTGATCAACAGCCGTTAGAAAAACTCCAAAGCTTTTACAGAAACTTAAGTTAAATGTCGCTCAACCAGGTTATCCAGTTTACTTCTGCTGATTAAACTTCCACAAAGCGTACAGACATTTACCAGTGAAATACATTTGACAATGAAACAAAAATGCCAGCGTTATTCGTTATGCCGCTGTTCGTAAAATCCTGCAGAAAAGACCCATTTACATGCATTTTAACCGCAAGACGGCGCATCATCGCTGCGTACACGATTAATAACACTTTATCCATTTATTTCAAGTCGGCATAAGGCATTCTGCCGCGAAAAACCAAGTAGGAGCATATTACCAACAAACATCTAAAACTACTCTACCTAGAAATATAGAGTTGGGTAAGTGTAACTGGCCCTAAATGATAAGAAGTATGCAAATTTCGAAGGAACATCCGAAATAATGTAAACCCCATCAGTTCTCCCAGCTGATAACATAGAGAAAAGTCCAATATCCTCACGGAACTGCCTATAGCTCATCAAGATATGGGACTTGATAAATGTTGCCACATGACGCGATAGTCATATTAGAAACCATACGCGAAATCATCTGAAAACTAACAATTGTAACAGGTACCTCAATTTCCGACTCTTAACATTCATTTTCAAAATATGATTTAGTCGGACTCCTCTTTGATGAAATAACAATTATATTCAAAGATAAGATAAAACAAAACTTATTTACAAAGACTAAATAGTTATTTCACCTTTTCAAGGTCTTGCTTCGTTACACTCCTAATAAGCTGGATAAATTCTGAGGTAGATACAATCCTCTTTGAACACAATAACTGAGCAGCATATCCCAACGCCAAAGCGGAGGAACTTTCACAGTGATTTAGACAAACTAATTCTGCCATCCGCCTAAAATGGAAACATTAATACTAGGATTGATAGTTGGTTTCAAAATAACGAAAAGGCTACACATGCCTCATAGCAAAACAAAAAATTTCAACTCGCCTCGCCTTCTTTACTGTGTCGTCATTCATTGAAATAGATTTCAGTGATTTTGCTGCAGCATGAACGAGAGGAGCAATTATATCAGCTTCAGATGAAATACAAAAACCAACAAGTCCGCTATCAGAATACACTTCGCTTAATCGTCTAATTTCATAAGGGTAAGAGCCCGATGCTTTCTAAAAAAGAGCTGATACTATCTTAAAAGTCGGCACGGGCCTCTTAAGATATAAAGGGAGTTTTAAAAAATGCGTACAAAAACTGCACGAGAAACGACTCCCTCGTTGTTCGGGCCATACCTCAGCGACCTTTCTCCAACTAAGAGGGAAAGAAGAACTGACTGTACCGCTACATTCTGAAAAGAAAAAAAAAGAATATGGTCGAGGGAGTTGATCAATGAAGGATTTGCAACATGAAGTCTATTACCCATGAGGACCAAATGAGTAACTTACTTCAGGTTCTTTGATTGACGCCCCCTCACCTGCGATAGCGACATATGCTTTTCTAGACGTAAATGAACGTCTAACTTCGCCGCCAACATATTTTGAAGGAAGCCCCTCTTTGCTTGACTTTTCATGAAACCTCATATGATCATTGAGGAATTTGAGAATGTCATCATGATCAATATTGATGCCAACAAGAACTGCCTGACTACTCACCAGCCGAGAATCCTCCAATTTTTTAACAATATAAAAATGAAGCCCAAAACTAAACTAGACAGAGAAATCCCCTAAGAAACTAGAGAACAATTTCCTAACTATTAGAGTTAACAAACCAATCAGAACAAAAATATACAGATTAAAATTAAACAAAATTAATCGTTTTAAATATTTCTGATAACAAAATTTATTGAATTTCAACACTGTAAACATAAAGCATGCGCCTCCCAGCACAGATGGATCTGGTGGGAAAAAAAATGACCATCATGAAACAAAAATGCTTACTGCAAATCGACGTAATTTGAGATAGTCGTACTTTCCAACCAGTTCTTCTGCACTGTATAAAGAGTGGCCAAGAGGACCGCCACGAAAAGCTGCCTGAAAAGTAGTTTCTTCCAAAAAAGTTTAAAAAAAGAACAGCTCCTCTCCATACGATGCAAATTTGAATCACTAGCCTCCTCAAGAAAATACTGCTAAAATAATGGAAAGAAAACCCGTATTAAAAAAAAATAATAATCAAAAATTATAGTCTACTTATTGGATGTTAACCTACATAATGTAAACAGTCCGATAATTGGTCATGAGGTTTCAAGTAAGCAATATCTGCATCCAAAGTTTCTATAACGTTTTCGAGATCCCAAGGTTTAAATGCAGGCTGACTCAATTCACAAATAAGTGGGAGAGTTCTGCAGGCATGCTCCCGAACTAAACTTGCCTGAACTGCCAGGAAGTCTCGCGTAAGATGAGAGTACTAAATGAAAAAAAAAAAACAAAGGTCAAATTCAGAAATACATTACTTTCCTAACAAATCAATGTACGCAGTTTAAAAGGAACCAATCTAACCAGAGTAGCTCCTGCACCACCGCACTGATAAAGCAAATGAACTCCGAATGCTCGCTCAGAATCAATCCCAATGCAGTTCCTTAAATGATGAGTTATGCCAAATTCATCTGGCTGTTCATATCGTGACCCAGCCCGGAAAGCAAGAACCAACTGCGCAACGGGTCCTTTCAAATCTTTTGAAAACACCGTCAAACCATTAGGTAGGCACGACAACTATAAATTGAAATATAGCCTCCTCTCAAAATAATATAAACATTGCTTCGCCTAAAAAGCGACGATAAATGGTTGGGCATTAAAAGATATTCAAGTCAGCAATTAGACCTCCTCTCCACCAACAGCCTTCGCAGATTCCTTCGCTGCTGCAGCGACCGTAGACGCAAGACGATTCTAAAAATATTTAGCGAGACGTTCAAGCTTAATAAACTGGATTTAATCGGGACTGAGGAAAAAAAAAACTAATTTCAATGATTCCTAAAACAAGTAAGGCGTAGAGTTAGCAACTCAGAAAATGCCACCGATTTTATGCGACAAACTCCCAACTTTGATATGCGACAATTCGCTCACTCAGCGATCTCTTCCAGTTAATTTTTGCTGGATAGTAATTACAGAATGCCCATAACTCTTGCTCATGCCATGTTAAAATAAAAGTACCACGGGCAACATCAACAGGTAAGCTGCTGAAGGGATGCAAGACTGATAAACTTTAGAGAGATTGAGACTTACAAAAACTGTAGCGCACTGGCGGATTCCCATTATAAGAAACTTGACGTCACCGAGCACAAGAAACACCTGGAAAAAAAGCATTTAAATTTTGATAGGGTCCGTTCAGGATAAGAATAGCTAAATGCGAACTGATAATATCCTAATAATGCCCTTTTCTAGCAGGAGAAGGCTGCGAGCGGAGAAAAAAATAATCGTTAAAGCATGTTAAATAAAGATTCAAACATCCGCCTACAGTCAGCAGTCAATTACTGCAGGGATTACGCACTGACCTCGCACAAAAACTTCATGTCGATTACAGGAAACCAAGTTTTACTGTTCTATTTTGTTTTAGCGAGAATTCCCCTCTCTTTCCCATATGTTCCCTTGAGCAGAAGTATTTTAACTGCCAACTTGTCAAGACAACAAAACAACTTATTAGTCAAACAGCATCTCGTTCAAAAGTGAATAAACACGATGAACATTATTATTCGTCAGTAACGTTACACTCAAAATAAGTTACAGAGCTACAGTTCCAGTAGTCTGAAGTATTTCCTATAAAATCCCCGCTTCGTTACGCTGACTGTAGCCGAATAATTGGTCGCGTGCGGTTGCATCAAATAGTTGGCCGCACAGCAACCACTGGCTGCAGGCCCTGCCATTGGTAGTCATTCGTGTGCGCTGCAGACTCTCTGATCAGTCTTTTAATTATTCACCATAAGTTGCTCAAGAAATCTGCGTAACTATATTTTTGTAGTCTAAGGGTAGCGACCGACTCTACTTTTTCTGCAGTCTTGGCCTGTACGAAAAAAGCGCATTATAACAGTCAAGTGCGTACCCCAAGACAATTTTTGACCATTATCCTCATTTGATTTTCTGTGTACAGAGTTTTCTACACCGCCCAAGTCATCTGTAAAAGTTTCAAGTTTGTCTGATTGGTTCTTACTAATTTTATGTCAGTTTAGTAAAGAAATGTTATTTCAATCCTTCTGCCACTTCATAATGCGACTTTTGTTTCAGCGTGTGGTGTGGTGATTAGTGTATGCACTCTGCAGCTGCAGTCTTGGAACTCTACAAGAGGTTCAGATCTACACTCCTCACATATTTCGATCATTTTCTGGCCTAGCCAAAAATATCTGTTCGGTCTCAGTAATGTAGTTACATACACAGGATTTACCAAATGGCATTAAATGAATCTTCGTTCAAGAAAAGTTTGCTTCTACCATTTTATAGATCTCTCTAGGTGCTTTCTAGTTCAGAAACTAGTCAAAAAGGAAAAAGTAGTTCTGCGAAAAATTTCCCAACAAAAACGAAGAAAATAGACCACAGATTATGGGAGATGCAATGTAGTTACAACAAGATAATAGAAAACAAGAAATAGTGATAACTAAGATACGGGACATAGTGTACTTGTTAGGATTCTAGAGCCCAGGTTTTTTTCATCTCTGTCACATTGAGAAGCAACTAGAGAGGTTTATACAACGGTAAAAGTAGACTTTTTAAGAAAATAAACTCGATTGGTGCCATGTGTTGAGTTCGAAGCATACAACTATAACGTAGTGATCAAATAGGCATTCTTGAGCAGACCAGAAAGTGGTTGATCAAGAAATTTATGTGGGCAAGACAAATGCGCGGCCATGGGTTTGAAAGCCAGTCCAAATTCCTAGGATTTTGGTTGCGGAATGCGTTCCCCCAACCAATAAACCACCATTTGAAACGTTCAGATCTTTATGAAGTGGCAAAAAAATTTAAGCGACATCTAGGCATTAGACCGTCAGAAAATTAGTAAAAACTAAGTAGAAAAATCTGAAACTACCTCAGATGGATCAGGCGATGTTGAAAACTTTGTATACAAAAAAAGTAGTTAAATAGTTGGTGAAAAAAGTATGTTTGGGGGTGGATATTCTTATCTGCAATAACGCCGAAAAAAGAACTTAACGACAGAGTGGTTAAACTGTTACTGTTACAGGCATGCAAGTGCACATATAAATTTGCCTAGTATTTTCAATTACAAGCCAAATATATA